GAGGAGAAGAAAAAATAGAAGGAAGAGGAGAAGGAGGAGGAGGAGGAGGAGGAGGAGATAGGTTTCACCCTGTTTTGCAAAAGAGAACACAGGCTTGGAGGTGCGATTTGGTGGCTCATTCCTGATCACAAAGCCGATCCACGTAGGATAGCAGTCAGACAGTACACTAGGCTCTCGGTGCCCTTCCCCCCAGCACATTTTGCTTTCATCCCTCCCACAAGGCTTCCTTTCTGCTTCTGGCCAATCAATGAACAAGTAATTAGCAAGCACCCCAAGGTGCTTATCAGCACTGCGTGCCAGAAAGTCCTTCCTGATGACTCACATTCATCTCCACTGCTCAAATTTTCTTAGTTCGTAGAGACCAAGGCTCCTTTTCCATCCTTTAATAAATCTCCAGAGACCTAATAATTCTTGCTGAGCTCCCCATTGCTCTCTGTGTGTCTTTGGTTTCTCACACCCCAACTCCTCTGATGAAGAGCAGGCCCTCCGCAGCCTCCCCTCAGCTGGGCTGGAGGCCTTCTCTCCTGAGACTCACTAATCCAGAGCAGGAACACCTCAGTGGGAGTAATGCTCCCACAGGGTCAAACATGGTTCTTCAGGAGGAGGGAGGGGGAGGAATCGTCTCAACTATTACTGTGGTTTGTGGCATAATGTTTATGTGACATTCAAATAGCCTGGAGGAATATTAAGGAAAAAATATCCTAAAAGGCTTGTGTGTGTATGTGTCAGGGGGTGGGCAATGATGAAGAAAAAGATTGCAAAAGCTGGTGTAATCCCCTAACCTTGCAAGCTTCTGGTGGGCCATCTGCCCTTTCTTGAGGTAAGAGCAAAGGGACTGGGGAACTCCTGGAGTGGGAGTGAGGGTCCTATTGACCCTGATTCTCTGGTTCTGTGAGGGTCTATGGGGAGGGACAGTGTGACCACACAGAGGCCAGCTCAAAGACAAGGACTCCAGCAGGTTCCAGTTCCAGAAGTTCAGTACCCAGCACATGTTTTTTATGCCAGTGTGTACAAGAGAGTGTTTTCTCTAGAATGTCAGGTCTGATTGACTATTCGTTCTAGATCTGGTCCCTAAAGTTTGAGAAACTCTGGATGGCTGCTGGGAGTTCAGACATCTGCCTTTGGTTCCCCAAGCCCCAACTTAAGGGAATTTTAGACCCTTCTCCTCTCTCACACCCACTACCTCACCTAAGCACCATGAACGGCATGGTCCTTCCTAGGCCAGAGAGACAGAGATGACAGCCCCAACCCCAACTCCAGTATGCATACTTCGTCACAGCAAGAAAAATGACTACAGGGTCACCTCTCCTGGCTTCTGCACGTGGAGTTAGATATGGGGCAAAGCACATGTCAGAGGCTCCTAAATCCCACGGGTGTCTGTGGGCTTTGTTTTGGGAGTCCCAAGGAGAAGGTCATCCATGTCCCTGCATAGGGGTCATATGCACTGTGAGCTGACTTCTGTGTGGTCTTCCACTGGTGCATCAGGATATATGATGTGTGTGTGCATCTGGTTGCTCACACAGGTCTCTGTGTATATTTTCTGATGTGTGTCCATCTGTGTGAGGTCTTTCTCTGGGCTGTACACTAGTTCAGCCATGTCTGGCATGTGTAGGTGACACAGGACCCTGTGGCAAATAGCAAGAAGGGCCATTTGCATGCAAGGCACGGGCTGCCCTTATTACCTTAGGAGAGAGAGTTGCTTTTTATGGGAACAAATTAACTCATTTTTAAAGGAGTTTAAAACACCTCGACTCTTTTAGTTTCTCTAAACATTGAGGGCAGTGAGCAGTGCAGGGCCTGGGGGATCTGAGATAGCTGCTCGTGAGGGGCACAAGGCTTGTCTCCCAGTGTGAGGGAATAGGGAGTAGAACCACAGTGAAGTTGGAGGTGAAGTTGGAGGTGAAATTGGAGGTTATTCTGGAGGCAGATATAACTTAAAGTTGAGGTATTAACTCAAGCAGAGATGATAGAAAAGGAACACATGGGCCAGAAAGAGAGACAAGGTTAGAGAAGCTCTGGCTGGTGTTGGGATCCCAGCTTTGTCGCTGATCCATCTAGGCAGTCGCATTGCCTCTTTGAGCCTTCTAAGTCTCATCGCTAGTGTGGAGGACTCTCTACTCGCCTCTCTGTTGTAAGCTGCTCAGGAGAGCATGGGCTAAAGCACGCAGAGTGCTCAGTACAGAGACTGGCCCTGCAGGAGGCGCTAAAGAAACACATGACTCTGCCTTGATACCACAACCCAAGTGCCTACCCTTCTTGAATCTCAGGTATGAGATTCTATGAACCATTCCTGTGCCAAGGGTCTCATGTGGGCAATGCCTTTAGTACTCTAGCCCCCTCCACAGAAGCCACAATCAACGCATACCTGGCAGTGAGTTCCACATTATACATTTGAAGTTCTCACAATTACAGGAAGCATCTCTCTGATCATTGTTTTCCTCATCTGCAAAGTAGGTAGAGCTATCAAACTTTCTTACATGATACACAAACAACTCTTAGGGCAATGTCTGCTCCGTAGTAGGCAGGGAATCAATGTTGCCTATTATCATTCTAATTTCAAAGAGAGAACAAGTCTGGAGAACAACTAACTTTCTCAAGAGCACACAGCCCCCAGATTTGACCCTGGACCTCTGACTTTAGAGCCTGTTTCCTTCCTGAAGTGGGATGAGAGATTACCCTGCTTTTGTCAGGAACTGGCTCAGAGACCACTGGTGCAGACCAGTTGAGATGCAGCTGCCGTGCTGCAGGCAGCCCTCTGGTACTACCTGCTTATCTGCCCACTTGCCTAGATTCCCAGAAGGTTCCTATGCCCTGGGCCCCTACCACTGCTCCCCTCCTGCCTTTCATTCATGCTCCTCTAGGGCAGAATCCCCGCCTCCTCTTTACCTACCAAATCCCTATCATAGAGAAAAATCAGACATGGCTGAATTTACTTTCTCTACTTAGGTGGTCCCTAAAGCTGCTATGACTGTGAGGGCAGGGTTTACAAGCTAAGGTCAAAGGCAACAAAATCCCAGGGTCTAGAAGTCTCTCCTAATAGGCAGTGGTTACTCAGAGTTCAACTGCTGTGCTTCATTTGTCTGTGTTGGTTTTTCTCTGTCTTGTCTACTTAATTTTGCAATTCCTTTTTGCTTCCATTTGCTAATTATTTGATTTTAATTTTTTTTTTTTATTCTTCAAACTCACTGAGGAGGGATTTTGCTATTGTGGGGAAGATGATCAAATACCTTCCTTTAAGTTTTCTTTCAGTTTTGTCCCTTTGTCTAATTACCAGAATCATCTCAGATCCTTTCCCAGAAATGCAGCCAGTGCTCACTTTTTGTTTCATGTTTTAGACCTTTTAACTTTTCTCTATGACTTGGTGGCTGTCATTGCATTTACATGAAGGAACTGAGGATGTAGCACATGCTTGCTTTCTAGCAGTGACCTCTCAGGTCTCATGCATTCTTGGACTGGGGAAGCATTCCTATGTGCAGAACACACATGACTTCATGGGCCCACATGTACATATCCATGCATGGCACACATTCAGCTAATGAACTGTGAATGTACATGCAAGCTAGGCACTGTTCTAGGTGCTGGGATGCATTAGCCAAAAAGACAAGGGGCACTGCTGCCATAGATCACACACACACATGCACACACACACACACACGGCATGTGCTCACAATACCTCCCTACCCCCCTACACACATGCATCCACACTCATACTACCACTACCACAACACATAAACACACTATCTTCTCAGTCTCAATCTTCCTTGGGGGGAAAGGACAGCAATGGCTGAAGCTGCTAGAGACTTTGACCATGGCTGTTCTCTTTAGGGGGGATGCTGCTGCCCCTGAGCAAAGCATCCTGTTCCATGTATTGGGTCATTGGGAAAGTCATGATGTATTTTTGCACAGAAAAACATAGAAAAATAGGTCATGGCTTTCCTGACAACCTAATAGATATGGAAGAATCTCCACTAGGGTTCTCTGTGGCACATGTGCTCCACTCACTCCCACCTCCTCTTGCAGAAATAATGACTGGGTGTGTATCCTACACAGCCATTCCCCTCCTAGGTATGCATTTAGCATCTCTTTTCATGTGCACAAGGAGATGTGAGTATAAATGTTAATTGTGGCTTTGTTTGAAGAAGTAACAATGGAATATAAGCAAAATGTTGGTCTATACAGCAGAGAAAACAGTAGAACCAGAGCTACTTGACATAGCATGAAGACTTCTCAAACATGGGGCCTTGAATATAAAGAAAAGCAAGTTGCAGAGGATGTACTGAATGTGCCATTTATATGAAGTTAAGACATACAATCTAGGGACCAGCAGGTGGCATGGTGGTGAAGGCACTGGACTCCCACATAGCCAACTGCAGTTCGAGTCTTGGAGCTGATGGTTTGCTTTTTCACTTTCTCTCTCTCTATGAGTCTCTCTCTGGTAAGCACACTTACCTTCTAGCAAATTCTTTAAAAATGATGAATAAAATAAATAAATAAAGACACACAAACCAATGCTGTCTGTTGTTTATGAATATGTATATCCTGGTAAGAGCATGGAAACCCTAGGAATGAGCATGACAAGCACTCTTTGAAAGAGTTTAGAAGGCCTTCAGTGAAAGCTATCATGTTTAATCTTGCAGACTTGTTGATGGGTACATAATGTTCATTATTATTAGCTGTACTTTTTATGTCTAAAATATTTTATTTTAAAAGACATAGCATGAAAAGGGAAACTAAGATGTGTGTTTATCCAGAATTCCTCTGGGGTCAGCATTAGAATCATAATGGAGCCTTTATTTCTTCATTTGATTTGACTTCAAGTTGCAGGTGAGTTTTTTT